CCCAAGGGTGTAGGGCCAGCCAACGATATAGCAGATAGATGCAGAGATACTGACAGGTGTGTACAGAGCTGTACACAGCTCTTTCTTTTAGTACAACTCACTCACAGGAACTAAGCCTTCTCATGAGCACTAAAACTCAACTTGCCTCTCAGAGACAGCATTAATCCATCCAAGCTAATCACTACTTACTAAGACCAAGTTCTAAAACATGAACCTTGCGGACACACCATTACCCAAACAGTTAACACTTTTTATCACATAAGTTCTTATGCTTAAAGCAAGGTGACAGAGTTACTGCTCATTTATATTATTAATAAAGAGTGTAACAAGAGGCCCCCTACCAAGGCACAAGTAGCAACACAACACTCTACAATACTGGGCCACAAGGAAGACCAGGATTCACATTATAGATAAGCTAAAACATGCATGGCCTACATGAACACCCATTATCACAGCTGGCTGAAAGGTCTGAGAAAAAGGATTTGATTACAGTATGAGAAAACTCTCTTGGCAGAAGCCATGCAGTCAACACGGGCAGAACATGGGGAGCTGCCTCTCATGTCGAAGCAAGGCTTGGCCGAGAAGAGCTGCAAGTAAGACTGCAGTCACAAGCTCAAGGTTTCATCTGTGTTGCTGTACTGGTTTGTCCTTTCAATCTGTGCCATGGGCTTTAATGTCGTTATGGTACCCTGGTACCCTGTAAAGGTAATATAACACCCCCAGCCTTACTATAACTTTTATAATACTCCTGAAGGAATGCAGATCCCTAAGGCAGCTGCAAACGGGAATTACTTCCATGATACTCACCCCACCCCCTGGAAAATGTCAATAAAGAATGCTGCATTCAATTCTCCTGCTGGGAATTACATAGATAACATTAGAAAGGTTTGGGTTAATGGAAAGCTACTAAATTGGTAAAACAATCTCAGTAGCTGGGAGGGGCTCAAGGACTCATCCAAGAGGTACTGTTACCCCAAACAAAGACCATGGGTCCACCTTTGATCTCAGGACAAGGAAAGACTGCTGCTCCCCGAGCCATAGCCATTGTATAGAACCCCCCGGAGCATTAGCCATTGTATAGAACAGCATGTAGAGGGTCACAAGTACACAATAACCTTTAGGTCAGTCATTAAATTGCTTACCCAAGAGATAATATAGGTATTCCACTTTAGTATATATTAACCTTGGCTTTACTTAACGAGATAGGATTTCTATCTAGGCCTTTGTAACCTGCAATCCGCTGCCATCCTAGTATGAGGCTAAAGTTCTCAAGCTGGCCTGGGGCTCAAGTTCTCAAGCTGGTCTGGGGCTGAAGTTATCAAACTGGCCTGGGAATGAGGTTATTCAGATTCCTGAAAGCCCCCTCACCCAAAAGATCTTTCCCAGTAATCAAGATCTAAGAAGAGAATGCACCAGACAAATGGACTCCCTCATCCTAAGGATTATGACTGTTTATACCTAAACAAAACAGACATCATGTTTTATGATTATTGTTCCTATGCTTTGAATACTTTACCTCTTAGAGTAAAATCTTTTACTTCTCCTCACCCATCCTACTCCTGTAAAACTCCTTCAATAATAAATGTGTATGTCTCCTAGCCATTGATGCTGTAGTCTTGAGCTTGCTCTGACTGTAGTCGGCTGAGAACATACTGAAGGGCATCGAGGTCTCTGCCGAAATTCCTTCTTGCCTGCGTCGCCTTCCTGTGCACAAGCCTCAACCCACCCCAGCTGGAGCAGGTCTCCAGCACTCTCTAGAAGTTATCTGTCTCTCTCTTTCTCATGAAAAAAAATTTTAATTAAAAAAAAGAAAGAACATGATATGAAAGAGCCATATCACAAATTTACAAACCCATTCAAGAGAGTGTTTTCTCCTTCTGGGAAAAAAATTACAAAACTAAATATATTGGGGCTGGCAGGTGATGTGGTGGTTGGGGCACTGTACACCTACATGGCTGATTATGGTTCGAGTCCCAAACACGGTGGCTTGCTTTCTCACTTTCCTTTCCTCTCTCTGGTCAAATTAAAAATAATAACAAAAAAAATTAAATAAATATTCCTTTAAAAAATACTATCTATATTCAGTCCTTTTTCTTGTTAGCAGACAGAAAGTGCCCACCAATTCTAAAATTCCATATAACCAATCATATTGGATTTACTGTTTGTAAATCTGCATTTTCTTGATTTTTCTATCTTCAAATATTTTATTTTAAATTTACTTACTTATTTACATTCATTCATTATACATCATTATAGTATACACAGTGAGATTTTCCATCCAAAATACACTGTATATTGGCTCAATCAAAGATATTACCATATATATTACCATCAATAAATCATTTTCCATTTATTTCTTATATATTTTCCTTTTTTTTCTGTTTCCCCCTTGATTCCCTACCTCTTACCCTCTGCTATTCCCCACCCTCTTCCCACATAGTGTCTCTGGTATTTCCAGTTGCTTTCTGTGCCTGTTTTTTTTTCCTTCACATTGTATTGATTAACAAAAGATCTTAATTAATCTAAATATTTTCATAGAAAATATAGCTGATATATACATATCTATGAACACAATTTGACTTTAGAAATATTCCTCAGTGAGTAGAATGAACATACTATAAACTTGCACCTAGCAGGGGTGATATAGCTTACTGCAGTCATTAAATAGGTATTTTTAATGCAATTTTTAATTTCAGGAGAAGTGGTTTTAATTTTAATAGATCAAAATAAAAAATGTTAAATTTGCTGAAACCAGCAGGTGGTGTGGTGGTTAAGGCGCTGGACATTCCCACATGGCCAACCATGGTTCGAGTCCCAGACATGGTGGCTTGCTTTCTCACTTTCCCTCTCTCTCTATCTCTGTGTGTGTGTGTGTCTCTCTCTGGTCAAATTAAAATAAAATGAATGAATAAATAAAATAAAATAAAATAAATTCTTTTTAAAAAAAGAGAAATTTGCTTAAGACTTAAAGCCAAAAAAAAAAGGTTAAGATTCAGTTCTAACAGTAGGTAGACAAAAATCCTTAAATGTGGAAAATAAAACATAGAAAAAAATCCATAATATTTTAGTCAAATGTCATAAATTTCTATTTTACTAGCTCTGTCTCAAGGGAGGTTCAGTGATAGAATTCTCACCTGCATTTTAAAATATATTATTGGTACCAGCAGATGGCATAATTGTTACATTGCTGGAATCCCACATAGTCAACCACAGTTCTTGTCCCACACCCAGCAGCTAAAAACTCATACTAGGCACATGTGTGTGCATGCCCAAAATCCTGAGAGGAGAATGAAAAAAGGACAGTGGCAGGCCATCTCCCCTGGAAAGTGATTTCTCATTTTCTGTCTGTCTCTATCTCTCGGGCCAGTAAATGGCCCTACAGCAAAAATCTCTCAAAAAAAAATAAAAACACTCTATTTAATATTATTCTATTAGTAATTTTAAAATGCCACTTCAAAAAACTTGTAATACAAAGAGTAGAAAAGAAAGGCAGACAGCATATTAATCCAAAAATGTGTATTACATAGATAGTCTTACGCATGTTCAACACATGACTAAACCAGGACTCAAACCCAAAAAAAAAAAAAGGCCCATGAAAGAAAAAGCAGCCACACAAGCACAAATTCAAGTACAGAACTAGCAAAACAAATAAAATGATATGGACAAAAGATGTTACGAAATACTACCAGTTGACAAAAAAAAAGCACTATTATTATCTATTAAAGTTATCAAAATCAATGAGACAGGAAGATCCTTTAAAAATTATAAATTCAAACTATCTAATACAGAACATACATGTGGTATCTTCAAAAAGTTCATGACGAATGTGCATTATAAAAAAATTATGCATGGATTTCACAATTTTTGGTACCAAAATAAATAATTTAATTTAATTTTCCATGAACTTTTGAAGTAGTCTCAATTATTCAAATAGACATAACAGGAAAAAAAGTCAATACAAAAATACAAAGACAAAAGAAAAGATATTTTTAATGTTTAATGTTCTTTTCCCATAACACAATCATCACATTACACATTTAAATATTGTTTAAAAAACAGCACTTTCATATAAGTCATGTACTCTTAAGAATTATAAACATTCTGGCTTAAAATATATAAGATTCTTTCAGCTCCGAATCATTTGGGCTATCACAATTTCTGATGAGATTTAAACAAAACCCTTTTATATATCCCTGTTCAGGTGTACTGCACATTACAAACAAATTCACATGTAAATGTTGTATCTGGCCTGAATAAACTTTTTTTAAGTGAAAAAATGAAAAATATGATGATCATATTAAATTATCAGTTTTGCTAATTCGAGATAATACTGTAGTCATTTATTCATCTATCATAAAAGATAAACAAAAGAAAAAGGCTAAAATTAAATAACTGTACCTGTACATAATATTTTATACTAGCTCCCTTCTAAATTCTTAAGGATTGTTTCCAAGTTACCGTTAACATTAACACGAAGGAATTTCATATGTTCATTATTTAATGTATATATTTTCTAAAAATCACATTAGGCAATATAGTTTTATAAGATTTATTATCGGGGCCTGAAGGTTGTGCGGTGTTAAGGGTTCTTGGACTGCCACATGGCTGACTGCGGTTTGAATTCCAGACCGGGAAGCTTGCTTTCTTACTTTCTCTCTCTCTTTTTCAGTCTGTCCCTCTCTAGTCAAACTAAAAATAAATAGAGTTAAATAAAATAATTCATTAAAAAAGATTTGCTATTTCAGAATTCCTAACAAAAGGTCTGTCATCAACATTAGAAAGCATTTTAAAGAACAAAAAATGTCCATGAAGGTTAAATAGGTCAGAGGAAAAAAGCACCTCTGAAACAAAAAGAAACATATAATAACAACTAACTGAATTCTGAAAACAAGATTCTTAAACCATACTGAATAAATATTTTCACTAAATATTCTATCAATACAATATATCCCATTTTATAGCTAAATCTTTTCAGAGAATTTATAATAAGATAATACTACCTTGTATCCAGGTCCTAACTGGTGAATTGCAAATATCTGTGCTGGGTTGAGTGCTTCACTGAACACATAGACGGCACCAAGTTGACCACAGAATACCCTATTTGCGTCAGCCGTTTCTGAAGATCCAAGAAAGCACTTGTCATAGCTCTATTTTTAAAAAGTCATAAAAAAGAGTATTATTTTAATGACAAAATATTTAAGGATACCTGCCTTCATTATCATAAATATCTTAATAAATAACAGTAATAATAGAAGAAAGCATGAATTAAGAGTTCATTGGATATTTAAATTTTAAAAAACACTAAAGACACTTAGGGATAATAATCAGTTATATGTTTTATGTTTACAGTTAAACAAATAAACAATAACCATGTATTCGATTTTCAGATTTGATGATTTTCTAAATTTTACAGTTAAAGGCAAAGGAGCTTATAACTAGTTTGTGTTTACAAAAGTAAAACTAACTTTAAAACTCTAGTGATTTATAATTGCTCATATACAGAGACTGACATAAATCAAGGGAATGACTATTCCTAGTTTTAACTATGAAGACATAGGATCTGATTTTTGTAATTCTACTTTACTTTCCTATTATGAGTCTATTCTTCTACTTCTCCACATGAAATCAAAGACATCAAGAAAATCCATTCTCTCTCTTTTGTATATAATACTCTTACTATTGTTATACGAAATCAAATAAAACAATGATCACTAAGTTCTGCTGCTAAAGTGGATGGTACAGTACATAGGGAGGACTTTGAGGGAAGTCAGGAAGTTTAAGAAGCTTAACAAGACCCTTCCTGCTTCTACTTCTTAATCCGACCCATCTGGATCAAGGAAAGCAGTCACTGCTCAGTTTACTCATCCGTACAAGCTATTCCATATCTTAGTAATAAGTGAGACATTACATAGGTATGGAATGCCTTTGTGTCTCAATAAAGTAACAACAAAAAATGTAAATGGGATACAAAAATCAAAAGTTTATACTCATTAAATACTGCATCTTTAACTGAAAATATAAGACCTAAGTTTGATTACAAAAAGGATGTGTATATGCATGTTTGTTCATGCTTTTCCATTTCCTGATGCACTATTACAAGTAATTCAAAATTCTAAGTCTTTTCTTTTCAATACACAGTTTTATCAACTAATGACAAACCATAAAACCAATGGAGTTTCTTCGAGTCTACAATAAAGTCTGTCCCCTCTGCAGGGTAGACAGGAAGCAGAATTTTATCTATGGATTCTAATTCTGATATAATCATTCAGAAATATTTATTGACTATGACTAAACTCAGTATCTAGGGAAAAAAAACAATAAAAATTTAACATTTTTTCCTGTAAACGGACAGATAAGAAATATTTTATGCTTTGTGAATTGCACATGATTTGTGTGTCACATATTTGATTTTTGCGTGTCTTTAAAAAATAAAAACAGAAAGAAAAAGATTAAAATTAAAAGCCAATATTCTTAGCTCCCAGGTCATACTAAACAAGAAAGAGGCCAAGGGTCAGATGCGGCCCAATGGGTATAATCTGCAACCCCGATCTAGGAGACAAACTATAGACTATACACACAGTCCTTTTTAAGAGAATACAAAAAAAAAAGGCAAGTGTCAAAGACCAGCAGTTGGCGTAATGGCTATGTCACTGGACTCCCACATAGTTAGCCGCGGTTCAAGTCCCAGACCTGGTGGCTTAAACTAACACTGGGCGCATGTGCGTACGTGCCCAAAATCCCCAGAGGAGAATGGAAGTGAAGGGATTGCGGCATGGCCATTGACCCTGGGGGATGATTTCCCACTTTCTGTCTCTCTGTCTCTCTCTCTCTGTCTTTCTAGTGAGCACACGTGCCCTATAGCAAAAAACCTCTCTAAAAATAATAATAATAATAATAATAATACAAGAAAAGGCAAGTGCCAATCCCTGTTCTGGAGGAAATTAAAGTCTAGAAAGCAGCAGACAAATTTAAGAAGTCAATTTTGTTAAAAAAGAGGCAAGTAATAAAACTATTTATGCTGAAAAGGTTATAAATTATTGGGCTTGGAGATATTTTTGACAATAAAACACATCTTTTACTTTTGCTCTAGTAGGCCAGGAGAAAATTAGGGAGAAATGAACATAGAAAAATAGAAAGAGCATTTAAATTTTTTTGTTGTTGTTTGTTGTTTTGCTTTTTTCTTCTGTTTTTGTGGTTTGCCAGACAGCATGTTCACTCACCAGGGAAGAAAGAGAGAGAGAGAGTTAGAAAGTACCCCCATAGGTGGATAGTCATGCTGCAACTCCTTCTCCTCCATCTCTCTCTCTGTTGGGGATCTCAAGAGCACATGCACATACACGCTCATGCATGCACCCAGTATCTTCACCATACCACCCACTGGCTAGCCCTTTCAAGTTTTAACTATAGATGTAACTATTTTCCCTTAGAATGTGCTTAATACTGTGAGTAGATTAGTGTTTTTTAAATATGGACCATCCTATGGGCCAGCAGGTGGCTTGGTGTTTAAGGTACTGGACTCCCATATGGCTGATTCTGGTTTGAGTCCTGGACCTGGAGTCCTGAAAGTCATGCCAGGCACATGTGTGTGAGTGCCCGAAATCCCAAGAGGAGAATGGAGGAGAAGGGACTGCAGTGTGGCCATCCCCCCAAGAAGATTTCTCACTTTCCCTCTCTAAGTCTCTCGCTCTCTAATTCTCTGGCAAGCACACACACCCTATGGCCAAAAAAAGGCCTACAAAATACATACATTTCAGAGGAAAGCCATGACTTATTTATCTGTTTTTCTATGCAAAAACGTGTCAAGACTTTCCTGATGGTCCTATGTATTTATTTATTTATATAAGGTCCTATATATTTATTTACATATATACATGTATATAAAATATATAGACCAGCCTCTGTAGCATAGTTGGTAGTGTACCAGCCTGTGTAACTGGAAGCCATACGTCAACTAAGGTTCATGTCTCTGATCCAGTCATTACGACGACATGTCAGATGGACACATGAAACATGCCCATGATTCTGGTGAGTTTGAGGGCTGAAGGAAGAGGATTGTGATGCAAACAAGTCCTGCAGAGGGTCTGTCTCTCGCTTTCTCTCTGGCACACATGCATGTTACATCATAGGGGGAAAAAAATCTCATGGAAAAATGAACTTGAAAAATATATTAATAGAGAGACAACATATATCTGCTTAGAGCCTTCCGAAGATTTGTAAGCTATATAAGACAGGAATACCCAGGCCTTACATTTGCTTTTGAGGAGGCACTGAATGATTTCACCCTCCACTACCTATCCTCATCTCTTAACATTATTCTGTCCCTTCCTCCCTCTGCTCCAGAAAAAAATGGCTGCCTTACTGTTCCTTGAACTTTCCAATCCTGCCTCAACATTCTTACATTCACTGATCCCAGTAAATGGGGTATTTCCCCCATATATGTACAATTCTTCTCACTAAAATCATCGTTGGATAATTCGGCCTCCCTTCCCTGTACCTACTTTCTACAGTTGTTTCCACATTTTATTTTCTCCATAGCATTTATCACAAAGCAGCTGTAATAGTGACCAGGCATTATACTTATTCATACTGTTTTAGATCTTCCATTCACATACAAATAAAGAGATAAAGTTAATTTTTTTAGTGCTTGAGAGTCTGGAAATAATAGAATATTGCACTCATGTTTCTGGACCTAAAATACTTAAAATCATGGCCAACTAATTTTCCTCGTCTTTTTGTATCAATAATCATACCTTTTAGAAATTCTATTACACTAAATTTTAGACTTAAAGACTACTTTTATCAAAAGAATAAATCTTCAAAGTAAAACTTAAAAGCTTCAATCAATCAATTTTATTATGCACTTCATGTTATAGTGATGGATCATCCTTTGCCAAGTACATTAAAACACAGATTAAAAAATAAAAACTTACATCATTGGTGTTAACATGCCAAGCCATATCACCATAGGATACCAGTTGTCCATTAACGTAACACCGAATTTCACTGTTTCTCCATCGATTGTAAATGTGGACAATGCTGATCATGTACCACTTTAAAAAATTAAATATATCAGTATATAATGTTTAGATGTTACTGTAAAATGCAATCAAAACATTCATAACACCCTATAAGAAAATACTGGATGGACTATTAATTATCATTCACTACTACTTCCTCAAGTACCCTTTTCCCATTGCCCATCTTAAGTATAAAAGGAATTACCATAAAAAATAAATTGTAATAGAGACAGAGCTAGAAACTCGTGACCTCAGACTGGTATTCCTTCCATTGTACCAAGATGCAAAATTATAAAAGTATAATTATTTTTGTGTTCATTCATTTACTAACATTTACATTTTATCAGGTGCTACAGATACCTAATGCTAACCAGAGACTACAGGCACAGTTCTCCTGAAATGTATGATCTATTGAAAGAAACATACATAAGAAAAAGAACAGAATTACACATAATGTGTACGGTGGGGGAAAAAAAAGAATAGTGCAAAATGAGAAAGAATAACCTAAGATTCTACTCTGGATTGCATGCATGGTCAGGAAAGACTTGCTAAAGACACAACATTTTAGCATTAATAAGATTTAGATGGTTTCAATTCCACAACTGACATTTATTGTATATTTTAAACTTAACGTATGAAAATCATTAAAAATCAATGCCAAGTGTTTACACTGAATTTCTCTTTTATAGTAACTAATGCTAGCACAAAATGCATTTTAGGTATCTATTTTTATATGAGAACAGTTAAATTCTACATCAATTTATAGATCCACTCTCCTTTAAAGAGAACAGCTTAAACCAGAGAATAAAAAAATATTTTTCTAATGTACAAAAATATATAAGTATTTTATAAATATGTCTTCAGTAGTCAAAATTAGACTAGTATCCTTACAAAATATACATATGATACAAAATTTGTTCTACAGATTATTTAAATGTTCTATCAAATTATTTTATATATATTTTGAGAAATATATGTAAGTAAGCTACAACAGTAATTCTTAATCACCAAAATATTAGTTTATTTCAAACTGTCTGAAATACTTTGAATGGAATTCAATTTCATTTATTTCATCTAGAGAACAAAAATAGTGCACTGAGCAACTTAGAGATGACAGCAATACATAAAGTACTCTTCCATTGTAAAAAAATAAAAAGAAAAGAAAAAGAAAAATGTGAGATCAAACAAATCCCTAAATCACATGTTTAAAGTGGTCCATTAACAATTCTTTCTCATAGAAGATAAGTATTTTGAAGAAGTCATAAAAATTGAGCTTCTAATAACTTAAGAAAAATCTTTTTTTAAAGAATTATTTTATTTATTTATTATTATTATTTCACATGAGTTTTGTCAGAGAAAGACAAAGAGAGAGAAAGGGAAAGTAAGAAAGCAAGCCACCAGGTCTGGGACTTGAACCGTGGTCAGTCATGTGGGAATTCCAGCACCCTAACCACCACGCCACCTGCTGGCCCCAACTTAAGAAAAATCTTACATTTTACATGTAAGAAAATTAAAAATTTACATATAATACCTCCATTAAGTCTGAAAATATTAAACCAGAATGTCATCTATGTAACATAGAAAAGAAACTTTCTACATTTTAAAGTAAAATTTTTAGAAATACCAATTTTCTAAAGAGAACAGCTACAAACAAATGCCTATACTGTATAAAGGCAAAGATTTCCTGCCCAAAGACAGTTTTTAAATAAACATTAGAAATATTGTTATACTTATTTGCATACTTAATATAGAAATGGGCTCAATCAACAAATATTGACTGAATCCTTACTACTCCAGGTAATTTAGTGTACTGGGCATTATAAACTTTAAATATATGCAGATATGAATTGCATTCTTGTTATCAGTTCTACTAACTTTTGGCAAATTATTTAACAGTTTTTAACCTATTTCCATCTCAAAAAAAGGGAATAATAATGCCTACTTTGTGGAGTAATTGTGATTACAGAAAATAATGTATAAAAATTATGAAAAATAGTCCCTAATAAATATTTAACACCAACGAATAAGACAGCATTAACTATATTTCTGTACTTTTTATCTATTATTTCCTCATGATGAAATTTATCTCTGCTCAAACTGACAATATTTATCTCTCAGAGTCATCCAGCCATTCATTCATTAAAAAAAATTTACTAACAACTCATTTCATACCAAGTACTCCACTCCCACCCCAGACTTTGGATACATAAAAACTATACACACATACACATATACACACACACATATAAATATAAATATATCATAGAGGGGATTTTTCATTAGGGAAACAATAAAAAAAAATCTAAAATAGAGACAGGATCAAAAAAGTAATGACTTTTTGTGTAGCAAGAGAAGGAATGACAGAGAAGGCAGCATAGAAGAATTCCTGGAATGGGAACCAGCAGTTAGCGTAATGGCTATGTCGCTGGACTCCCACATAGTCGACCGCAGACCCAGTGGCTTAAAACTCACGCCGGGTGCATGTGCGTGCATGCCCAAGATCCCGAGGAGAATGGAGGAGAAGGGATTGCGATGTGACCATCCCCACTGGGGGGGGTGATTTCTCGCTTTCTGTCTCTCTGTCTCTCTCTGTCTGTCTGGTGAAAAACTCTGCTTTAGATAAAAATCCGCTCCAAAAAAAAAAAAAAAAAAAAAAAGAAAAAAGAATTCCTGGAAGAATGAAGAACAAAAAAGAATTGTTAAGTAAACAGGAGGTAAAGAAACATTTTAGACAGAGGAATCTTTTAATATGGTACAGCATAGAAGCTTAATAAAACTTTTCTTTTTTGGGGGACCAGCAAGTGGTGTGGTGGTTAAGGTGCTCAATTCCCATATAGCCAACTAGGGTCCCCAGATCTGGTGGCTTGCTTTCTCTCTCTCTCTCTCTCTCTCTCTCTCTCTCTCTCTCTCTCTCTCTCTCATGAGTACACATGTTCTAAAGCAAATTTTAAAAATAATAATAAATAAAATTAAATGAATAATTCTTGTTTTGCTTGTTTGTGTGATTAAGATTCAG